TTTTTATAAGATATTATTTTTATTATATATATATATATATATATATATATATATATATATATATATATATATATATATATTAAAATACTAAGTGCATATTAAATTTTCTGTTGATTTATTTAATATTACAAAACAATGATAATAATATACTTAATCAAATGTCATGCGGAGGTTAATCATGCACATATTAATTATATTCTTAATGACCTGATAATCTTCATTATTGTAAGTGAAATGATATGTATGTGCATATGCATACATCACTTCATGTGTAAACTGATTATTAACCATTTATCACAGGAAAATAAAATGTGTTCACAAAATGTAAAATGGCTTTTGTTTGTGTGTCTGTATGTATTTTCAATGGCTGGAAGCAGCATGGTTTCCCATTTGCAGCAGATGCTCCTGTCACAGCTGGACGCAGCAGACGTCTTCCCTCTGACTGGCAGCCAAAGGATGAGGATCCCATATATGTCCGCTGCCACCAAGATTTATCAATCAGATCATGTCGCTTAAAAGATGAGACACAAAATAACTGATTATTTAAATGAATGAGAGTAAAAGTCATCTGTATTGTCAGATACATATAATATAGTCCCCAACAGGCCTGTTTGAATTTTTTGTTTCTTCAGTACTCACCGACTGAGTATACATTATCCCTCATAATAAATCTGTTTTCATCTGTCTAAATATGCATGCAGTTTAATGTCATTTTGATTATGTAGCTTTCTTTTTGTCCACATGCACCTCTTCCATCATCTGCGAGGTGTCAACGGTGGTCAGTTACTGCACTTCATTGTGAGCTTCTCCTCTTTATCTTCTCAATGACTTCTCATCAGCATGAAATTGCCACTTCTTCTAACAGACCCACTGTCTCTGTTTCCGAGGCAAACACATTTTTTCCTGAAGTCCTAATAGTGGAGAAGTGATGCTCTGCCCTTTGAGATTTGAGGAACCACAGACAAAGAGTTTTATAAACCATAATAAAACTAGTGTCTAAAACCATTATTGGCATCAATGCATACCCTCAATGTACGTACTCTTGTTTCATTAATCAGATAAATACACTGCTTTATGGTAGATGCCTTTGTAGAAAGTATAGCTTTAATAAGCTTCATCATCATCGTATTTTTTCGGCACCATTCTCATCCCATATGTGTATTTCCACATCCTGCTCAATTCTAGTGCACACATTTGATCTTCATTAGTGAGGAGATGAGGAGACGTAGCCCTACTGCAAGCTAGCGCCTCATTATTTGGTTTTGCGTCAACGGCCACTTGGATTTTCTTAGACTGATTTCTGACTTTTCTCAATTGAGGAGAGACACATAATATAGAGGTGCATTCCGATTTTTTTTTTCTTTTTCTTTTTAATCTTGTGAAATGAGTCATATCATATTTTATGTTCTGCTATTATAGAGTTTTATAACATGGTTCAAATGAACCCTCAAGTACTCCAAATGACAAACCACAACCACGATATCAACCAGATTTCCTGCTACAGACACTGTCAGCCATATCATAGCACAAAATAAAAACATTTTCCCTGGGTTTTTTTTTATATAATTGAAACGAAGAAATAGATCTCAAACGCTTTTCTGTTCTTGTTTTTCGCTACGTTTATTGGCATCGACCAAAATGCATATGTTGCATTTTGGGAAAGCGCAGTGGGCGTCCGCTTTGAAATTACCCTGTGTTGCATTGATGATATTTCTGGGTAAGTAAAAAAAAAAGCTTCTGATACGGAAAAAAAAAACACCATTCGACGTTCTAAATAATTTCAATGTAAGTTACCAGCCAAACAGAAGTTTGCAGTCTAGCCAGGTGTATGCGTTAGAAGAAAGGATGCTAATAAATTCAGGCGTGTGTCATTACATCATAGCGTTATAGTTATTATTGTTACATATCATCTGTAAAACACTAAGCAACACTGTTGTTTTTTTCACATCGCCATCATCATTATCCCCGCTTTGGTTGTGATGCCATATGTGAGCGCATTCAGCTTGAGTATGGAACGTAAACAGGACATATTATGTCTATATTATGTTTATTCTTATTTTCCCATTCATTGAATAGGAAACAGCACTTCTGAGTGTTTCAGTCAAGCAACTAAACACTGGTTTAATGATTTAATGAATGCGGGTTAAATGATCTGTTTTGCATTATACAATCAGGTCCGTGTCATATTGATGAAACGGAGTCCATATTTGGCAAAATATTGTGACTAAAATGTAAGGTAATGAACTTCATGCTGCCTCCCATTGGCTGTTCAGTAAATATGCAGATAAAAGAGGAAATTACAATAAGATAAAACTCAAGAATTGAGAGAGGGATACTAATAATAATAATAATATGACAGTTAAATAAGGAAATACTTTGGGGTGAAGAAAAGGGGCTTGATGGTTTGAATCAGTGTTGAACAGAAGTTGCATGGTTACATCTCACTTTGTAAACTCAGTAAAGTAATAAAATAAAACGAAAATATCGAGAAACATCAAGGAATGTCTGAACAAACAAGCAAACAAGTCCAGTTAAAACCATTCATAACCAATGTGCATGTTCTGGTTATTTTGCGAATAGGTTTACTGCTACAGCTGTGGCCTCATAAGAAAGTTTCTGGTAAAGGTTGCATGAGGATTATGCATTTCAGCAGAAGACAGATTACTTACTTTCTTGAGAATAATCCATGTGGTATTGTCCACAAATTTTAATACATTAAAATTTTATTAGCGAACATTATGGAGTCAATATAATGTATATATATATATATATATATATATATATATATATATATATATATATATATATATATGCAAAAAGGCTTGACGTAAACGAAAAGGAGTTGTGCACACCAGAAGAGTTTCGCAACGCTGAATGGGGAAGTTGAATTCAAGTTCAAGTGAAAGCAATGCAGTTTTTAGAAAAAGTCACAAGAGGGCGTGACACACATTGTTTCGGTGATGGTAGAGGAACATGGCCTGCAATTATAGTAAAACTTAGTTTCACTGAACTGTCTATCTCAAAAGTCATCCTAATTCTAATCTTAAATTATCTAATGAGGTTAGATGATATGGCCATATATCAAAATATAAGCGCCTCAACTATTAGACATGTTCTAAATATAATTATTTATTAAATAGCATTTTTTTTTGCAATGGTATAAATGTGGGTTAAGTGTTATATTGTATGTATGGATATAATATATTGCATGTATGAATTTTAATACAAGTTTTGTCCTCTAGAGTACTGGTCTTATATAGTGACTTCCTTTGGCAAAATTATTTGCATATCAATACCATATTCAGGTATACAGATAAATACTATGGGCGTTAGCAATATTTGTGTGGCATCCTATTCTCCAAGAGATTGAAGTTAATAATACATTTCAGTTGGCTTCCTGGAAAATACTAAATTATTACATAAGCCCCAAAAGCTATTGAACTCAGTTTCATTATTGAAACCTCTTCTTCTTCAGAACCATTGCAAATAGATAGATAGATAGATAGATAGATCGTAATAATAATGTCACAATATCACAGTTTTTACTGTATTTTTGATCAAATAATTCAGACTTGCTGAGCATAAGAGACTTATTTCAAAGACATTTAAAGACACATATCTCACACAAACTTTTGAATGGTAGTGTATACAAAAAAATAATAATGTCACGACAACTCTCAGATAATTTTGCATGGTAATATATATATTGCAATGTTAATGTGTTTGGTTTTGGTGGAACAGATCTGTTATGCTGCTGCTGCAGAGCAAGTATGGAGACTTGCCACTGCCAATACATCCACAGACATGCTGCTGTGAGCATGTAGGAAATACTGAGAGTCGTGTTTCCATTCACTGTCATTGTATGGGAAAACCTGGACATTCTGCTATAAATAACTAATTTTGTGCTCCACAGAAGAGGAAAAAAAGAGTCATACAGATTTCAAGACGTGAGGGTGGGTAAATTATGACAGAATATTCATTTTGAGGTGAACTATCCCTTTAAATAGTGAATCAATAGATAAAATGCAACTGCAGTAGTACAGTTGTCTGTAAGCTGAATGTGACATATGGTAGACTATGAGAAAAAGATCTGCTTCTGACTGAAATACAGATGACTGGATTGCCTCACTCAAAGATTAGCCCACAATATTTCAGTCATTAGGCAGAAATACACTCTATGTGGTGTACGGATCCATCTAAGCAGATTTGTTTTGGTTACATCAATTTTAACAACCTTATACTGTTCACTTTTGAAATTAAAGAGATTATATCATAATTTAGATATGAGTGAGGAGTAAGCTGAACAGTAAAACTTCCCAATGCTGTTAGACTGTATATCGCACACTTAGAATGCCACTCATGTATATATCACATATCACACACACACTAACTCAGTGGTTCTCAAAGTGTGGGGCGCGCCTGCCGGGGGGGCACGGGTCATCAGCAGAAAAAGAAAAGAAATAAAACAGTAAACAGCCAAAGGACGTAACTTAGAATGGGAGATGGATCGGTTTGTGAAAGGGAAGAGAAAAGCCATAGATGAAGTTGCACAGACCCAGGCAGGTGCTGGTCATTTAAAAGCTAAATGCAGAAAATATGACGAGGCATATCTTGCTCTCGGCTTCACTCACTGTGTCTATACCGGACGCTACAGCTGTCGTGCAACCGTTGCAGATCATTTTAACTTTGTGTCAGTACGTCATAAATAGAACAAGACATCAGTTTAATGTCGGGGTTTTTTCGTGTTGCGTTGCATCCAGTGCGTCACTGATTATAATGGGTTCTACTGTATTGTGCCGCTCGCATCCGGTGTAGACATGGTGTTTAATGTCGTTGGTGTGGAGGAAAGCCAGTGTGTGTCCTACGCCTTAGCGGACAGCATGAAACCCACAAAAATAAATAACAGAGAGAATAATAATAACAATAACAGTTATTCTCTCTATGCTATTTTTCAATGTTTCAAGTGATGCAGGTGTTTTTTTTTGTTTTTTTTAAAGCATACATTTCTCATAATGTTTAGTGAAATCATTTGGTAGTCCACCAGATTTGTTTATAGGTTTAAAGGGGGGTGCAACCAAAAACGTTTGAGAACCACTGCACTAACTTTTGATGCGATCAAGTTTGAATCTGCCTTTTGCCACACTCATTCTTCTCGCATTCTTCTCCCTTTTCCCATCACATATCAGATCGGAAATGCATTTATTTTCAATAAAAATGAAGGAAATATCCTAAAAATGGAAGTGCCTCACGTGTATTTAAAGGGGTCATATGATGAGATTTAATTTTTTCCTCTCGCTTTGGAGTGTTACAAGCTCTTGGTGCATAAAGAAGATCTGTAAAGTTGCAAAGACTAAAGTCTCAAATCCAAAGAGATATTCTTTATAAAAGTTAAGAGTCAACCACGCCTACCTAAAACGGCTCGTTCTAACACGCCCCCACATGTCTACGTCACAATGTGAGAAGATTTGCATAACACCCCCCAAACGTTCACGCAAAGAAAGAAGGCATAACTTTTATTCTCGCTGTTGCCGCCGCCGCCGCCATGTTGTGGAGACACTATGTGTTTCGTTGTGAAAGCGAAACTACTTTTTTGTTTGTTTTTGTTTGGCCTTCCAAAAGAGGACGATATCCGCTTCATCATGCCTAGAGCTTATCCGTGCTGGTCGCTGAGGAAATACATCAACTTCACGCTGTGGATGGCCGGATCGGCTTTCATCGTGGATGAAGCGGAGTCCAGCCCGGGGTCGTCACATGTGGTTGCCGCAAGCCCGCCGGCCGCTCCTTTGTCGAATCGGCCGGTCTCTAGCCCGCCGGCCGTTCTTCACTCTAGCCTGCCGCCCGCCGCTAACTCAGAAACAAATGCCTCGTTTATAATGGGTTTTCATGTTTTTGAATCATCGCTCCGGCCTGACAGGGTATAATCACAGTATGGTAAGGGGAATAACATTTCCGTCACACACTTGAGGTATTCGGCCAATCACAATGCACTTGATAGCTGGCCAATCACAGCACACCTCACTTTTCAGACCGATGAGCTTTTTAAAAGTCGACACGTTTCAGAAAGGCAGGGCATAGAGGAGAAACAATAATGGACATTATGTGGAATAGAATGTGTTATTTGAAACTTAAATGTATAAACACATTTCATTACACCAAATACACAAAATAATGTTATTTTTAGCAACATCATATGACCCCTTTAATAATAAAGTGTTTTATCGGGTAGGGTTAGGTGTAGGGAGAGCTTTGTTGTCCTAATAAGTCATCCATTTACATTACATTTATCAGATGATTTTATCCAAAGCGACTTACAGTGCATTCAGGCTATACATTTATTTATTTTTTTACCAGTATGTGTGTCACCTGGGAATTGAACCCACAACCTTTTGTGCTGCTAATGCAATGGTCTACCACTGAGCCAAAGGAACAATATTCATCCATTTAATAATTTTAATAAAAATGATAATTTACACTTAATAATACATTATTATTACATAATGTTTTATACAATACTGAGGTGCAAATATATGCCACTATAGCATCTACTATTTACCCTTATTTCAAATAAAATACTGCTAAAAATAATAATAAAATAATACTATTTTTACAATTTAAATACAATCTATCGCTGTTTGCACTTAGTGTAAATAATATTTATCGTATTTTATTTATAGTATATACAAATATACAAATAAACTGGAATTGAAATTAAATCTATGTGATAAACAAGTTAGGTCAAAAGGATTCTAAAAGTAGTAATCAAAAAGTAGTCAGATTATATTACCTAAAATGAGTAATCTAATAGCCAGCACATGACTATCTTAAACCAGCTCATGGCCAGCTAAGAACCAGCTCAAACCAGTAGCCATGCTTCAAAACATACCTAACCAGCATATGCTGTTTCGTTCATCAGGGTATCTTTTGGGAATTACATTTTAACTTACTTGAAAATGCATTTTCATGCACACTATATAAAACACGCATGCACTTTACAGAAGTATCTCACCCATCAGATAGCAGGAATTAGATGTGTATATTTGCATCTCTCATAGCCTGTCCAGTGAACTCCATGGATGTGCTGGTGCCACCAGAGATCTATGCTCTCAATGGGACAGATGTCAGAATCTCCTGTGCGTTCACATCATGCTACAAGCTGGACGCCAGCAAGTTTGCCATGAACTGGACCTATCAGGAGACAAGCAACAGCACAGAGGAGATGGTGAGAGAAAACAAAGACTAAACATGCTAATACCATTGTAATGCCAATTCCTTAAAGTTACATGATTTCCTTGTTTGTTTATCTTTCTCAATCTACCTTCATCCAAAATGTCTTCTTTTCCAAGTTCATGACCTATAAGAACAAGATAACACCCTTGAAGTCAAGCCGATTTGGAGATCGAGTCCTATTTTCTGGAAACCTGGATAAGAACGACCTGTCCATCACTATCTTAGATGTGCAGCTGACGGACGAGGGCATCTACAACTGCTATGTGCGGAACCCTCCAGACCGCATTCAGGGTCACGGCACCATCCGATTTGTCGTCCTGACTGAATGTAAGGCTTCAGCATGGGCCAAGAAGCTGTACAACAAAAGTTGTCTGACCTCCAAGCAGGGTTATTTCATTAGAGGCCATGATGAATGGGGTTTCCTTATTGCAGGTGTTGTTAAGTCCGGAATTAGAATAGAGTGCTGCATTGATGACGTATATTTGTAGGCCAATCCGAAGTTAGCATCACCCTGGTTCCCTCAACAAAAATCCAAATTTCCATTGGCTATGTGAACAACAAACATTTATGATTCTTACATGTTTTTTTTTCATCATGAAACAGATTAAATTTTCATAAATGAACACAACATTTCTGAATCAGAATCAGAAAGAGCTTTCAGTATGTTTGCTCATACAAGGAATTTGTTCTGGTAACATAAGCGTCTAATACACAGACACAACAACAATATGCAGATAATAAGAAATAAAGATATGTGAATAAAAATACACATTTGTATATATATATATATATATATATATATATATATATATATAATTTGTATGTACAATTGTGGATACAAATACACATTTGTATATATATATATATATATATATATATATATATATACTACATTTGTATGTACAATTGTGGATACAAATCAGACTCATTCCCAGGTTTTGGCCTACAAAAATACGTCACTCTATTATTTTGACGAAAACACATAGGTTTGTATTCATAGTTCATCACAATGAAATAACCTTAATTTGCTCAGAAAGATTTAAACAGTTGCTACACTATGACAGTAGTCAACCTGAAAGAGAAAATTAAGAAGACTTAACACTAATATATGTTCTAGCACCCCTTGTGTACTAAGAGGTAGTTTACGCAACACCATTTTCAACTAAAAACGTTTGCAGATGTCCTGCATAGAAACACCTGCTAACAAGGCCTTGGAGGCCGCCACACTTCTGGTAGAGTGAGCCTTGACCCCCAGAGGCGAGGGGAGGTCAGAGGACTCGTAGGCAATGGAAATGGCATCCACTATCCACCGGCTGAGGGTCTGTTTTGTAGCAGGAAGACCTCTCTTAGGGGGACCATAGCACACGAGTAATTGGTCCGCCCTTCTCCACTGGGCAGCTCTGTGGATGTATGTGTCCAATGCTCACACTGGGCACATACAATTAAGTGGAGCTGGATGAGTCAGAGAGAAAACAGAGGGGACAGTGCAATGCATTTCGAGTTGAAAAAAAGTCCACCTGAGCCTGGCCAATAACTCTCCATATCTGCTTCACCGCATCTGGGTAAACCCTCCATTTCCCGGGCCTCGGCTAGCATTACACGGCGACAAGGAGCTCCTAGCACCGGGCCCTCAGACAAGAACCAAGGTTTCCTCCACATGTCTAAGGCACGTAGGCAGTGCCGCATGACCTTGAACATGTGTAGTCGGTTTCCCCTCGGGGAGAACCCTTTGGTCTTGAGCCACCACTGTAGGGGTCTCATGTACAGCAGGCCAAAAGGTAACACATTGGACCCAACTGCCATCAGACCCAGCAGTTTTTGAAACTGCTTGACAGTGTGTGACCGGCCTTCTTTCACACTCACGACTGCAGTGAGGATTGACTCGATCCGAGCAGGGGACAGACGTGCCTGCATCGTGGTCGAATCCCACACCATGCCTAGATAAGTGATTCTTTGTAATGGAGAAAGCACACTTTTCTTGGCGTTTAGCCTCAACCCCATCTCTCTTATGTGGGCGAGAACGACATCTCGATGCTGAACCGCCACCTGCTCCGATTGAGCTAATATCAACCAATCGTTAATATAATTGGTGAGAGTGTAAGGCCGAAATGAAGAACCCAGTATTGGTACGCTTTGCCCCTGAAAGCAAATCTCAAGAACTTCCTGGGATGAGGAAGGATGGAGATGTGGAAGTATGCATCTTTTAGATCGATCGTGACAAACTAGTCCTCGGACCTGATCTGAGACACAACTTGTTTGACTGTAAGCATCCTGAACTTCAGTCGCATGACTGAGCGGTACAACTGACGCAGATCTAAAATGGGACGCAATCCTCCATCCTTCTTCGGAACGATGAAGTACCGGCTGTAGAACACGATGGCCTCCTTCCTCAAGAGAGTGTCTACTTCTTGTTCCATTACCAGAGCGTGCTCGGGGCCCATCAGCGTGGGAATGACCCCATTGAAACAAGGCGGAGGAGAACCGAACTGGATTCGGTAGCCTCCCTCTACAGTGTGCAGGACCCACTGAGACACATTTGGCAGTAGTTTCCACGCTGGAAACTTAAGACTTCTAAGCCCTAAGTACGGTCCGCAGATCTGGCTTAGGCTTTGAAGGCTTTGACCCAGAGTGACCTTGGTCCCGACTCGGGGGAGTATGGGAGGCAACGCTCTGCTTTTGAGCCTCTCGGTATGAGGAGCTGGTACACGGAGGGGGCTGCTCCCGTCCGACAGTCCCCGGAGCTAGAGAGCAGCGAGGAAGGAATTGCTTGCTTACGAGCCTCCTGGTACCTGTCGACAACGGAATTGACGGCGTCGCTGAACAGGCCAGAAGGCACAAGCGGGGCATCCATGAGAAAGACCCTGTCCTTCTCCTTCATGTCAGACCGCGCTCATTCAACCCCGCCACATTAGCATAGTAGTCAGAAGCGGGGACAAAGAGGTGGGCTGACAATGGTTTGGTCCATGACCTCGACACCTCGGTGGGGAGGTCGGGGAAAAACGGCAGGCTCCGGTGTGGAGGTGGAAGCCTAGACCGTAGAAAGCGTTCATCCAGCTTGCTTTTCTGCAGTTCAGCCTGTTTTCCGGTGGGCCAATTGATTTTCAGCTTGGCCACAGCATGAGTAACCACCTCCAAAAACTCCTCAAACTGGGGCAAATGAGAGGGCAAATCCTCATCGACGCCCTTCACGTCAACCTCCTCGGAGGAAGACAGGCGGAGCGTCGAGCCCTCTCCCCGGGAGGAAGTAACTGTAGAACGTGCTTCCCAGAGAGCGGGCGCTGGATCTGGCGGATGAGGAAGGAGATAGGGACTCGCCTGTCTCCATTCCCTCCACCAGATCCATCTGCTAACCCCACGAGTGCAGCCGCCACTCCGCCTCAACGGAAGCGGGGCCAGCACCGCAAGGAATGCTGGTGAAGGCTCCCTCCTCGAAGAGAGCCTTCCGGGAGCGAAGCATACGCAGCGGCAGATGGCTGCGCCCTTGAGAGCCGACTCTGCGTGCCTCGCTCCCAAGCAGACAACACACAGACCTATAACGCTGTCTGCTCTCACCCAAATGTTTTGTCTTTGCCTCAGCTTTAGACATACTGTAACCTATAGCGGACAAACAACACCAAATAAGACTCACAACAGAGATTAGACTGACACACACACAGAGTGCTTGCTGAATGACAGAAAGCTGACGCCGGTTTCACCGCATGTGCTTTTATAGCTTCCTGGTCGCTACGTCCCCCGTCCGTGACGTTTCGCCCATCCATTGGACTGATTACACACGTGATTCAGAGCACGGTCACGCTGAAGGTGTTCCCATAGCGTTTTCCGACGCAGCTCGAGTTCCTGAAGGGGAACTACATTTTTGTGTGTTTTGGCCGTTCATTTACACGACAACAGTGTTTTGGGGGCTTGGAAATGCAAACTTTTGAAAAAGGGTTTCAAAGTGCAAGTGTTTGAAAATGATACTGTTATTGTCGTAAACTACAAAAAAGGTGATTTTGTGAAAACTGTGACATCATTCACATGCGTATTACATGTTCCGTCACGGGTGTGCGTGAGTATGTATTTAAGGAAACCATATGCGTGCATGTACCGAGATTTTATTTTTACAAAGTGACATCGCCAACTACTAGCCCATCATGCATAATACAGTGTTTTTTATGTTTTGTCATTTTCGTGGATACATTTGAAAAGGGATTGTTCTGACAGCATTGTTGTCTGTATGCAAAACTTTTCAAAAACGTGAAGGAAAAACTATTGACTCTTTGTGTCCCAGAGGTCACAGACATTTTTGGACTGTTTCATAAAAATTTATCAATTTGTGCTACGAAAGCTAAATAAAAACCATATAAATAAAAACATTAAAATGTTATTGTACTTTCAAAAAGTGTGAATAATTAAGTGTGAATAAATTTATGAAAAAATAAGCATGGCTCATGTAGGCATATATGATCATAATAAATGAAGATTATTGTGGAATGGTCAGTTGACGTGCTTGTGAAGCGGGGATTAATACAAACTGAACATGCACAAAACTACACATGTATATATTTATCCGTATTATGATTTATTCTTATCAAAGAAGTGAATTGCACTTGAAACCTGTGCAAGGGGTTCACGTTATTTGAATCCGAATACGTAGCAGTCGCGTGGTTGTGTGCGTAAACGACGCTTCAGATGTCGCAGATAACGTGGTTTTGGCAAAACGAATCAAGCTCCAGGAACAGTGCTTCATTGTGAGATGTTTCTTTTTTTTTATACAAGCCTCGAACGTCACATCACTAAGAGATTGTCAGAATTGGCATAACCCAGTTAACAAAAAGAACAAAATTTGGACAATGTTTTCAAAAGTTATAAGCGTTTTTGCAAAAATCATTATATCTCTGGAACACTAGGTGGCGCTGTGTTCAAACTTCTCAGGTACCTCCGGGTCATGCTGTTGATGATTCTTACCAATTTTTGTGCCGATATGTCAAATTGTTCAAAAGAAATATAAATTTGTCAAATTTCAAAATGAAAGTTTTCATAAAGCAAATTTTCATATCTCATGATCCATAGGTGGAACTGTTGCCAAATTGGTAACATTGATTGGAATGAACCCTCAGGTCATGGTGCTGATGAAGTGTACCAAGTTTCATTTCGATTAATCAAAAGTTTGGCCGGGATACAGCCTCTGAATCAATTTTGAGTTCACAACTTCATAACTTTTGAACAAAGATGAATATCAAAATTCTGTTCAGTCGTTTCTGTGCGGCTCAGACCAAAGATCATCCATGCCGATTTTCAGAAGAATTGGAGACATTTTAAAGGAGGAGTAGCGAAAAAAATGAATACTGTACTTTTCAAAATGGCCACTACTGAGTTTTAATGTAAGCTATTGAATGTAATCAGAACGATGAGTGGAATCAGATGAACTAAATTTCAGTTGGTCAGATCACTAATCAGGACCACGACTACACGTGTGCCAAATTTGATAATTTTCCTTCTTACGGTTCATAGGGCTGCCATAGACAACCCATATAGAAGAAGAAGAATATTGAGTGAAGAAAACTAATGGATACAATAGGGGCTAAACCCCTTCGGGGCGTGGCCCCTAAATATTCAAGGCAAGACATATGTCTCCATCCAAACAGTGGCATCAAAAAAAGCATTTTTCCGCACAAGATAACAGATTTGCTGTCCATATTTTCATTTAGATATTCACTCCTGATTACGTTCTTCTCATATTGGATTAGTGCGAGGAGAGCAGATTTCCTATTTTTTGGGTTTTTTAATCAAAATATTTCCTGTTGGATACATGCCGACAGGCGTCAAAATCTCTGGAATGCATCAGTGACGAAGGGGAATGTTGCCTGGAGTCTGAATGAATTAACTTTCAGATTGCATTTTAGGTCTGCTTGTTTGGCAAAACACCCAAAAAGCTGTAGAGTCACAGTGGTCAAAACAGAAACTCACAGAAGAGCTTTTTTTGCCTGTGAACTTCTGCCAGATGTTGAAAAGGAGTGGGAAGTGTAAGGAGAGAGAAAAAAACACCGCATGTGCTTTTATAGCTTCCTGGTCGCTACGTCACCCGTCCGTGACGTTTCGCCCATCCATTGGACTGATTACACACGTGATTCAGAGCACGGTCACGCTGAAGGTGTTCCCATAGCGTTTTCCGACGCAGCTCGAGTTCCTGAAGGGGAACTACATTTTTGTGTGTTTTGGCCGTTCAAAGCTGACGCCGGTTTCACCGCATGTGCTTTTATAGCTTCCTGGTCGCTACGTCACCCGTCCGTGACGTTTCGCCCATCCATTGGACTGATTACACACGTGATTCAGAGCACGGTCACGCTGAAGGTGTTCCCATAGCGTTTTCCGACGCAGCTCGAGTTCCTGAAGGGGAACTACATTTTTGTGTGTTTTGGCCGTTCATTTACACGACAACAGTGTTTTGGGGGCTTGGAAATGCAAACTTTTGAAAAAGGGTTTCAAAGTGCAAGTGTTTGAAAATGATACTGTTATTGTCGTAAACTACAAAAAAGGTGATTTTGTGAAAACTGTGACATCATTCACATGCGTATTACATGTTCCGTCACGGGTGTGCGTGAGTATGTATTTAAGGAAACCATATGCGTGCATGTACCGAGATTTTATTTTTACAAAGTGACATCGCCAACTACTAGCCCATCATGCATAATACAGTGTTTTTTATGTTTTGTCATTTTCGTGGATACATTTGAAAAGGGATTGTTCTGACAGCATTGTTGTCTGTATGCAAAACTTTTCAAAAACGTGAAGGAAAAACTATTGACTCTTTGTGTCCCAGAGGTCACAGACATTTTTGGACTGTTTCATAAAAATTTATCAATTTGTGCTACGAAAGCTAAATAAAAACCATATAAATAAAAACATTAAAATGTTATTGTACTTTCAAAAAGTGTGAATAATTAAGTGTGAATAAATTTATGAAAAAATAAGCATGGCTCATGTAGGCATATATGATCATAATAAATGAAGATTATTGTGGAATGGTCAGTTGACGTGCTTGTGAAGCGGGGATTAATACAAACTGAACATGCACAAAACTACACATGTATATATTTATCCGTATTATGATTTATTCTTATCAAAGAAGTGAATTGCACTTGAAACCTGTGCAAGGGGTTCACGTTATTTGAATCAGAATATGAAGTTGTCACGTGATTGTGTGGGAAAAACAATGCTTTGGATGTCACAGATTACGTGGTTATGGCAAAACAAATCAAGCTCTGGTACAGTGCTTTACTATTAGATGTTTTTTTTATTTTATTTGTTTTTATTTATGCTTCAAAGCTTCATCACAATGAAAATAACTTTGCATTTTTAGCGTTGTTGTTGTCATATAAACGTCCCCAAAATTAGGCCAGTTAGCCAATAGTGGTAGATGCCGTAACACCTCAGTCTGGGCTCAGAAATATCTTAATAAATATATAAATATAAATATTTTTTTTAAGAATACACTTTTTTTGCAGAAGCAATATGCTACTCTGGTGTATTTTGTTGTTAACATTGCTAATTTTTTGTCTTTCTCTGCCCAGTACCGCCACCAAGGGATTCAACTATTGCTGTCGCCATCGGGGCATCTGTGGGGGGAATTCTAGCTTTGCTCATTCTGTCCATGGTGGTGGTGAAATGTATTCGCAGACATAAAAACCAGGAGCTGATCTCAGATGAGCAGAAGATGGAAGAAGAGGGCAAAGCAGATGGAGAAGGAGGCACAGAAGAAGCAACAAAGTAAGAAATTCTTCCTTTTTTCCTCGTAATAAATAATTTTCTTCTGTATAAACAAACTGCTTACTTTGAATCCTGAAACAGACAGCCCTAACCTGCCATCTTAGCCCTGGAGGCCTAACGGATGGTGGAGCTCCATCCTACACATTCTGGTAAAAATGAATGCTAGCAAATGTGTTTTGGTGGTCATGTGACTGTGGTTGACAGCAGCCCTTTCAAGTTCTCCATCTAGTCTGTCCTTTATTTTTATTTTTTTAAATTCTGGACCTAAATGTCCTGATTACTTTGTAGTCTTCATTTACATGGTTAGGTTCTGTGGTGTCGTTGTTGTGGTGGTTGTATCAGTTTTTTTGTTTTTACATTTGCATAACTGCAAATTACCTGCACTTGCAAAAAGGCTTTTGAAAAAAAAAATGTTTCAGTATTTCACAGCCTTTGATGATTTTTTGATATACATTATATATCAATATTTATGTTCCACTTCAGGAACTCGAGCTGCGTCGAACACTTTGGGAACACCTTCAGCGAGACCATACTCTGAAACTTGTGTGTAATCAGTCCAATGAATGGGCGCAACGTCAAGGACAGGGTGACGTAGTACCATCTCACGTGGCACTTAAATTGCCTGGAAATGTTGGCCGTGTTTCGAGCACTCAAAGACTTTCTCCCAGACCTGAGAGACTGCCATGTGTTGTGTGCACCGACAACACAGCGGTGGTCTCGTACATCAACCACCAGGGAGGTCTGCATTCGCGCCCCTTGAACAAGCTGGCGCACCAGATCCTTGTGTGGGCCCAAGGGAAACTACTTTCACAGAGAGCAGTTCACATCCCTGGGCATCTAAATCAGGGAGCAGACAACCTGTCAAGGCAGGGGCCGAGGCCCGGGGAATGTGGTGTGTCAGATTTGGAGAATGTTTGGCCAGGCTCAGGTGGATCTGTTTGCGACTCAGTAGACATCGCACTGTCCCCTCGACCTTGACCGAGGCTTGGTCTGTATGCCTTCCCCCCGATTGCTCTGCTCCCGGGAGTTCTGGAGAGAGTGTGCCAGGACAGGGTCTGTCTTTTGCTAGTAGCCCCGTTCTGGCCGGGCCGAGTATGGTTCTCAGACCTGATTTGCCTTCACAACAGCTCTCCATGGAAGATTCCTGTCAGGAGGGATCTCCTCTCACAGGCGGAGGGTACGATCTTTCACCCCCGCCCGGAACTGTGGAAGCTGGGGGGTGTGGCCCCTGAGGGGGCACAACTCGTAGCTTCCGGTCTCTCAACCGAGGTTGTTGAGACCATCCTCCAATCCAGAACTTCCTAGACGTTGCGCCCTGGCTTGGCCAAAGCTTTTCTTTACCCCATGCCGGGGTACGTCCCTAAAGTGCCCTCCTCAGTGCTATGCCCCATCGTACTACAGACTTTCTGTCCTCCTCCCTTTCAGGACCCTGACCAGCAGAAGCTTAACTGTATGTGTCCAGTGTGAGCACTGGATGCATATGTCCACAGAGCTGCCATGCGGAGGAAGTCTGACCAACATTTTATTTGCTATGGTCCTTCCAAGAAGGGTCTGCCTGCCTCTAAGCAGACCCTCAGTGGGTGGATCGTTGATGCCATTTCTATGTCATACGGTATCCCCTCGCCCTTGGGGGTCAAGGCTCACTGCACCCCAAGTGTGGCGGCCTCCAAGGCCTTCCTGTCGGGTGTGGCTATCCAGGATATTTGCAACGCGGCGGGTTGGTCTACAGCGCTCACCTTCGTCAGGTTCTACGACCTCGACATTCATACCACTCCTAGTTCCTCTGTCCTTCTGCCGTAGTTGTGCTGAGTCATACAAACTACGCAGGGACTTGAAAGTCTGGCGGTGTGGGCATTCTCATTCCAAAAGCATTCAACGCAGCTCGAGTTCCTGAAGGGGAACGTCTCTAGGTTACGTATGTAACCCTAGTTCCCAGAGGGAACGAAACACTGTGTTTCCTGCCATGCTTCCGGCATCCCTGTGAGCACTTCCTTCATTCTACCAAAAGCTGCCACTGTTTCCACCGCACATGCTTTTTATAGCTTCCTGGGGTCTCATTTATAAACGTTGCGTATGCACAATATGGGCATATAAATTGTGTACGCAATTTTCCACGCACATATCGGGATTTATAAAAAATAAACTTGCGGTAAATATGTACGCACCGTACGGACATTCTAGACTATGCGCACCCACTCTTTTTCCTGGAGTGAGAACAGTAATGAAGTAAACAACAAATTTAAAATCTGTTTTCATTTCGATATACACATTTACATTAAATATTCCACTCTCATTAATGGAGATAAGCACTGAAATTACATAAATAACATAATACACAGAAGTTAAACAAAAAATTATATGAATTTAAACATATTTAGTGGATGTGCTTGATCACTTTTCCTGTGGCATGCTGTTTTAATGACAGCAAGGGGTCCTATAGGTGCACAATAATTCATCTTTAAACTAAACTGCAGATCTCATGTTATGAGAAAATATTTTAGTGAGAACAATGATCAATGATGTGCACTTACTTCGATATTATGGCAGACACTGCTGGATTGAGTGGTCGAGCAGTCCATTGTCTGGCTTGAATAGGTCCAATGATAATAGCTTACTGTAAAACCACAGCTGCACAGAAGTGTTGATGCCGTTTGAAGGTATTTCCACAAAAATACCACTGTATTTGAAGGATTCAGCTTGAAGAAAATGGTAATTTTGTCAGTGAGTCAGACAATTCTATTTACACTGCAATAAATATAGGCTAAAAATAGCTAAAGGATGTTCATCTTATCAGCAAAACTGCATAAATTAAATTTGATTTGAATTGTTTAAAACTATTTAAATACTATTTGGCCAGTGGAAAAGAATGAGATCAACTGTATTCAAAAATATTTATCTGAGAACTATTTTAAACAGTTTTGTTTTTATGGATTTTGATATATTTATGCTAAAACATAACAAGGATACTGGATGATTTTTAGCAATAAAAATTGTGTATGGCACAAATGGCATTTATAGTGCATATCTCATATTTCCTTAATGTCTTGTACCTTTAACGGTGTTAAATATGGTGTCACGTGGATGGGAATATGCATGGAAATGATATGCAGATGAGGTTATGCATAGTAAAACTAGGCATTGTAAGCTCCATATATGGGGATTTCGGGAAGGAGTCGGGGGTGGAGATGCACGTACGCACAATCATCCCCTGACTGGGGTTTATAAAGGGATTTTTGCACAGGTTCTAGCGTATGCATGGTTTTATAAATCTGAAAAGTTTTGTGCATATGCAAAATCTAGCTTTTTGTGCATACGTACACGTTTAGGATGACATCTACGGGGAGTTTTATAAATGAGACCCCTGGTCACTACGTCACCCCGTCCGTGACGTCGCGCCCATTCATTGGACTGATTACACACATGTTTCAGAGCATGGTCTCGCTGAAGGTGTTCCCAAAGCATTCAACGCAGCGTCTCGTTCCCTCGGGGAACTAGGGTTACATGCTTAACCTAGAGACGTTTTTACTCTAAAATGTCTTAAAATGATTTTCATTAATAATAATCAGTTTGACCAAATTAAATTAAATATCCTGTAAAAAAAATTTATTAAAATAAAAATAAATAAATAAGGAATATTTTTCCGATGGTCCTTCACTAAATTAACTAAAGAAACTCTATAGCAATATTTACCCATTTATATTTGTTTGCCAAAACGTTTAATGCATGTAAATTTGCAGGGATTTTAAGCATTTTTAAAAGTCATTAGGCAAGTAAATCAGTGTTTGGAACCACCTCAAAAAATCAGACAAACCTAATTCACAGAAATTAAACTAATTTTCTAACTTTCTTGAAATTGTTCCTACAAAGGATCTGGCAAATTAATCAATCTTTATTTAAAATAATAATAATAATAATAAAATAAAATTGAAATAAAAAATTAATCATATTTACCTACTCTAATGGTATTTTATCTACAAAATAACCACAAAAAAATATTAAATATATGTTAATATTTAATATGCTGAACATTATCTCACATGTTTTCATTGTCTTTATTTTTACCTTACAGAAATGTATGCCTCCTGCCTGAAGATATGTAAAACGTGGTTGACTCCTCATCCTATAACTCTCATTCAACATTCCTCGGTTTTCTCGTGTAGCAGTCAAACATGTCATGTTAGGAAGATCTCCACCACAGTGCCATGGTGTCCAGTTACCGGTGAGAAATCACAAAAGGTTTCAAACTGCCTCTTCAACTCAGTATGACAGGTTAAGGTTATAACAACTTCCTGCAGAACTCTTCATTTGGACCACGTTTTTTCAAAGTCAAATAAGGTCTTTTTTCTTCAACTACTGCCAATATTAGCACTAATAATATTAGCCATCCAGTATTTCTGCTGAGAATTTTCTAAAGAGATTAATTTTAAATGATACAAAGTCCTCCTTATAACTGCCAAAGTGTTTTTACCCTTATGGTGTTTATACGTTTTGACAGTTTCTTGAGAAATCACTGCCCTCAACATCCTCTCAAGTGGATGTAGAAACATAACGTGTGTGTTTGTGTGTGTGCCTTCTCATTGTGCCAATTTGCTCCTATTGAGTTTGAAAAGTTTATGCTGTTTTTACTATCCAGTGTAGGTAGAACAGCAGAAAATTAGGCAGGACCATGACTATACATGAGTGTTGAAAATGTATAATTTGCTAGCTTACAGCACATAACACCTCCAAAACATGTACAATCATTGCATGACAATTTTCGTAAGCATCATACCCACACAATTAGCACAAAACAAATCATCAATTTGCACAAGCATCTGGCACATTCCACAAATAGGGTATGCTTTGCTGTCCCATGACATTTTTTAAAAGCCTTAGAGGCACAAATCCCATGTTGTCTCTTCACTTATTAGATACTGTACAGTGTGTATAGAAAAGAATCATCCGCCTTTAAAATAATTACATTTAGATTTTTTTGCAGCCTGAAATGAAGACATACACAGCTTTTGTTTTTTTCCAGCTATATTTACTCAGTGCAACTTATAACATCCAAGTGAAAGCTATAACATCAACATGTCAGAAAATAAATAAATAAATAAACAAACAGAATTACTGATTTGGAAAAAAACGATAACGCCCCTCCTAAAATGACATGTAAACTCAATCAGGTGTAGCTAATCACCTTCTCAATAGGTGCGTTTCCATTACCCTTCAAATTGTGCAAATTGAAATTGCGAATTGAAAATACGCCTAATGGAAACGCGTCAATTTTGCAAAAACACCCATATATCGCAAAAAAGTTTTTACGCTCGCATGAGGTGGTTTTTCAGGCAATGTGAAAAAGGATGAATTCGCAAAACTGCAATGGAATGTTTTTATACAGGCTATGGTTTATTCCAGCTGCACCACGCACGTTTCTGAAGCGGCTCTCTGTGCTGCTTCTGTAAAGATACACGCATAAGCCTCCTTTGAATAAATATAGCCTAAATCCGTCAAAATCCCACCAAAATCAGTTGCCATGACTTATCGCGAGAGGCAAAAGGTTACGTTTTAGCCGCATAACATTGGTTAATGGAAACGCCGTCATTTCGCAATACTTTTTTATCGACATTCAGAAAATATCGCTAACGTTTTGCGCAAATCTGTATTGGAAACGCGCCTAATGGCACACAAAGCCATTTGACTTTCAACTATGATCAGCTGTGGTCATTTTGATCTGCTCAGCATGAAAAGAGCTTTCCTGGAGCATTTCAATCCTTGGTAGTGCAACTGTTGCAAACAATCAACTATGGGTGGCAAGGCACTGTCAAAAGATCTCCAGGATAAAGTTGTGGACAGGCACAAGTCAGGAGATGGATCCAGAAAGATTTCAAAGGCTTTATCAATACCTAGAAGCAGAGTGAAGTCTGTTATTAAGAAGTGGAAGGTATTTGATACAACACAGACCCTCCCTGGATCAGGACGTCGCTCCAAACTGGATGAAAGAGCCAGGAGGAAACTGGTCAGAGAGGCGACCAAGAAGCCACTCTGAAGCAGTTGCAGGAATTTATAACAAATAGTGGTCATTGTGTGCATGTGACAACATCACAAATTCTCCACAAATGTGGCCATCCAAATAACAGCATTCCTCCAGTAAAGCATGGAGGTGGTAACATCCTGTTATTGGGTGTTTCACTACAGCATGGACTGGAGCACTTGTCAGGATATAAGGAAAAACTGATGGGGCACAATACCGTCAAATTTGTGAGGAAAATCTGCTGCTCTCTGCCAGAAATTTGTCAATGGGAAGAAGGTTTGCCTTCCAACATGACAATGACCCAAAGCACACAGCAGAACTGACCACACAGTGGTTGAAGGAGAATAAGCTGAATGTCCTTTCATGGCCTAGTCAGAGTCCAGACTTAAACCCCACGGAAAATCTGTGGAATGACTTGAAGACTGCAGTCCACAAATGGTCATCAAATTTAACTGAACTTGAGCAATTCTGCAAAGAAGAGTGAGCAGATATTGCAAAGTCTTTATGTGCAAAGTTAGTAAAGACTGAGGCAAATCCCAACAGACTAAAGGCTGTAATTAAAGCAAAAAGGATGATCCTTTTTCCAACTCGGTGTGTTTGTTTGTTTATTCTGACATATTGGTGTTATATCTTTCACTTGGATGTTATACGTTAATATAAGTATAAGTAAATACGGCTGGATAAAACAAAAACTGTCCATCTTCATTTCAAAGCAACAAAATGTGATTATTTTAAAGCGTTAATTATTCGCTATGCCCACTGTATATTTGTTAAAACTAGTTTAGCATGAGGTTTTTTTTTTTTTATGGTGATTTTGACCTGTTCCACCTAAGAGGACTTGGACTTCTTGACTAACAGTTAAAATCACAGAAAAGTGTCATCTCAAAAGATGAACATTGACGTTTTTAAAGGTTTGTTTTATTATAATAAAAAAGTCAGTTCTTAATTTCTTTATTAACCTTAATAAAACTTATTTTCCCATTACCAAATAAACAAAACAAGATCATTTTGAAGTAAATAATCTGTTTTCCCAATTATGAATAGATAAAAAAAATCAAACAGTTATCGTAGAGTTGCAGATATTTTGTACCCTATTTATGGAAAATGTCATTTCCAAAACATTGCTTTTACACATAAACATCATCATTACAGGTGCAATGATTATGTGGCAAGTTAAACATGATCTATTTATAGATAAAAGCCAAAAAAACAACATATATAGAAATTTGATTGTTAATGTTATTGATTGTGTTTGACATGTATGTTGTGGTGTATTATTTGGAATGGGTGAATTTATTTTACATGAGTATATTTTTGAATTTATAAGCTGTGAAATTAATTTGATCTCATAATCAAATTTCACACATAATTATATAATATGTTCAGAAAGAGGCTAAAAGGGTTTTTAAATTGAGTAATAAGCAAATTTAACCTACTGGATTAAGTGAATGCACCTTTGATTGAAGGATTTTTTAAAAAGCTATATGTATAGCTTTTTAAAAGCTATACATAAAGGTTTATATGTTAACCTTTATAGGGGAAGTCGTGGCCTAATGGTTAGAGAGTCGGACTCATAACCCAAAGGTTGCGGGTTCGAGTCTCGTACCGGCAGGGATTGTAGGTGGGGGGAGTGAATGTACAGCGCTCTCTCCCACCTTCAATACCACGACTGAGGTGCCCTTGAGCAAGGCACCGAACCCCCAACTGCTCCCCAGGTGCTGCATAAATGGCTGCCCACTGCTCTGGGTGTGTGTTCACAGTTTGTGTGTGTTCACTGCTGTGTGTGTGCACTTTGGATGGGTAAATGCAGAGCACTAATTCTGAGTATGGGTCACCATACTTGGCCACATGTCACTTCACTGTATGTATACAGAGGAAATTAGTAACTTTGAGTTCAAGTAACTGAGGGGAAAAAAAGAACCTAAACAAAACTACAGCTATTTAGTCCAGAATGAGAAAATCTGCTGTTTTCATACTGACTTTGTTGGGAATCCATTTTGATAGTGAAACACTCAGTTATTGTCCACTTTCAGTGGACTTGTAGTAATAGACTGCAGACTGCCTCAGTATTATCACAGTATAATTTTGTGTTATGGTCAGGAAATGTGAGGAGTTTTAAATAGTTTTATTTAATAAAAAAGTAAATATATCTAAATATGTATATAAAATGTATGTATATTGTAATCTTGAATGATGTTGAAAAGTAGCAGCATATGTCTTATTTAACCATTCTGTATTTTTAAATTGAGCAAGACAATAATATCATAGAAATGTAAGCTCATTTACAAACAGTTCTTTGTTGTGGCATAAAACCTCATACAAGATTTGTTGTCATATATACAGTACAGTTTTTGTCTATAGACCATAGCAGTTTAAACTGTTTTAGCACTTGTTTTACTTCACCATGTATGATTGATTGGTTATCATACTGTAACACTACATGCAGCACAGGCCCAAAGCCTGGAGCCACAGTGATTTTGAGCCCGGGAAGCCTCACCCTCTGCTGGGCAAAGCTGACACCCATATTGGCTTCTGTTAAGGCACATTTTAACTCACTCAATGCCCTTGTGACTGACTTTAGCTGCTTCTTATTCATTTATTTATATTACACTTTCACATATCTTTCATATATTATTCCAACAAGTATTTAATGGATCAAGTATATTGCTTTCTGTTATTTATATATATATATATATATATATCTATATATATATATATATGTACCATCATGGATTATGCTGTTGCAGCTATAATTTTGCTCCATTTGCAGCTCAAATTCCTTGTAAGGGAATGTATTATTCATTCTTCTTCATCATCATCATCATCATCATCTTCTTCTTCTTCTTCTTCTTGTTAATTTCAATGTTTAATTCAGTTTTGCTTTATTGTATTACGAACCAAATCTGAGATTTACGTTCATAACTGTTAACTGTTATTGCTATGTATTCAATGATAATCAGTTCAGTGATAATCATGCATTCAATGACACTCAGTTACTTTGTTCACGTACACATGTACATTGTGAATTATACTGTATTTTAACCAGTATTTTTTGCATTAAGAGTAGATATTTGCATAATGTAAGCGACATCAGAACCACGTCCACAAAATGTAAAAAAAGTATCCAAAAAGATATAACAAAACCATTAAGCTCATAATTTGATTTGCTGCACAGCAGTTAACATTAAGCCAGCTTGTGAAATTTAGACTGTGGCACAATGATTTTATGGCTAGTGCTTTAGTGCTTGCCATTCATAGTTTGAATTGCCAGGAAACACTACTCTAAATCCCTGATTATCTTCTATTAGAATTAGACAACTATAGCCTAGTTACTTCTTTACATGTATTCATATTTAATAGTAGGCATGGTACTGTGTCATTAAATATCATTTTGAACTGTCAGAAGCCTGATATTATATTGAAGGTAAATTGTATCACTTATATGATGTAACCATGATACCATATTTTTGATTGTACAGCCTTTTTTTTTTTTTTTTATGCATCCGCCTATTCATTTCTACACCAAGATCATACAAACATAATCTTTATATGGGCATAATCAATAAAAACAGTCCAGCAAGGTTGATTGGAATGGTTTGGGGGGGTTTTTTGCCTGTTTTTCCATCATGCATGCCTCGGTTTTAGTGTCTCGTTGAAGGTCTGACTCTGGCCTACTTTAAATACATATGCTTGCACTGCACCATAACTATAAGCTGCACCACTGCTTGTTTTTTTTTTAATAAAAACAAAGAAACAAAGCATTTTGTTCCCGTCTCTTTTTAAACCTTTCACTAAAAATATTGAATTAACTGAAAGTATTCCTAAATATTCAAATAGATAGTTCCCTCAAAAATGTATTCATTTACTCACCCTCATGGCGTTTAAAACCTATGACTTTCCTTCTTCTGTGGAAAACAAATGAAGATCATTCCTTTAAAAGAAATATAAAATATTAAAAT